CGAAGTTACGGAAAATCAATTAACAACGGTGACGTAACACTACCTTATTCCCAGTTTACCAATGAAGAAGAAAGGCATTCGGATTATCGGGTTCTTTGTTTTACGGTTTAATTTTATTTTTCTGTCATGAGTTCTAGTTGATTTTTTAAACCATATTATAATTATATCAAAACAAATTTGATTAAAGATAAAAAAATTAGCAACTTCTAGGATAAAGGGGATGAAGTAGAAAGTTGTATGTTTTATCATAAATTAATTCCCTTGTAAATTTAAAACAAAAACTGTAGAGAAGTTAAAAGAAATATATTTTGCCAACAACCACAATCAAATTTCTTCAGCAACATATGAACATTTAAGTGGAACTATCGACTGTGCGTGTTTGTTATTTTGTTCGTTATTTTGCCAACGGTAGCTGAGCATTAACCCTTAGGACTTATAACGCAAACAATCGAGTTTCAATACCTGCGGTTCATAGCACGGATAGCCTGTTATGTAGTTTTGCGCCTAACAACAAACAATCCATCATTATTTTCCATTTCTGAAGATGTGTGTTTTAACATTGTAGGGATTTTTTTTTTCTCAGATTTTCTCCTTGTGTACGTTTTAAGGGATTTAATAATACATAACTTTTATAACTTTTGTCATTTATTGTTTTTCAGCTTGTAACATGTGATTGCTGTTTTGTGTTTGTAAAAACAGGGTACAGTTAGTAGTTTTGAAACCATGGAATCTACATACTCTCTGCAATGTTTGTTTTCCACAAAATAAAAATGGTTTACTGTCTTTGGTTTTATTAGTATTTAAGGTGTATCTGAGTGCGTATTAGCCGGGGATATTCGTTTATAGTTCTCCCTCTAGGAATATATAAACATACTTAAAAAGAAAAAAAAAAAGAACAACTTAAAATATCAGATTTATTGCCGTTAAAACCCTTCACGTAGCTTTAATTTGAACTCGGTAGGTGCCGATGGGAACGTGCCCGGCGTTTTTGATGCTCATGTCATGATCATGCTGAGGTCAGGGAATGCTCAGTTGAAAGCGAAGAGATACGAAGGGCCTATCTTTGTTGGTCCCCGTGAGAGGTGGTGCATAACCGAAGAAAGATTGTGATGATGTGGCCAGTGTTTGCTCGTTAGTCTAGCTCAATTTTCTTTTTTTATGATATATTCATTTCGGGTCTTTGAAACATCGGAAGATCTGTTAGGGTTAGAAGCCACACGAGATCAATGGATGTATTCATGATTTTGTTTCAGGCTTTAGTTAAGTATTCTGAAGAGAATGTATTATCCATGGTGAGCCACACCTATAAAGGGCATACACGTGTGTATTCTAGATCTTGTTTGACCCGTAATCTGGAAGTAACGTATTTATTCGACATAGATATGATTTTTTTTCCAGAAAATGTTAGAGTACTGGTATTCTGTTGTTAATATATTGAAAACCAGAATATCTCATGTTTTATGTAACATACACACGTGACTTTAGTTTTATTTTATGACTGTATCTGTATATAAGTCTAAAAGTAACCATTCCATATAATTTCCCATTTGTACTTAACTGTTTGATTCTACCTGTGTATATATGTGTAAAGGTATTTCCAACATACCTACTGCATTTGTCTTTGAAGGAAGGAAAAATGAAAAGCTAGCACCCACATGGTTAAGTGCACTGCACAAAATGGTTAAAGGATGATTAGAGTTTTTGATATGACAAGGAAGCAAGATTATTATAAAATAATAGCAATTATCACCTCAGTTTGTTATGTAAGTTGAGAATTTGATGTTCAATCATGAGATTTGAAATACAATTGAACGGCTGTTCAGTGTATTCTCTATATAGTGGCCTAAAAATCTTATCTCAGTGGTTGACTTTCTGAAGTGAATCGCAGAGCTTAAAGTGTTTTTTTTTGTTTTGTTTTGTTCAAAAAACTGAAAGAAGACATTAGGTATATATCATTCATGTGGAAAACTAGAGTGTGAAGTAAAAAGCTAGTGTTTGTAACCGAATGTGGAACTACTTCCAAATAAATGTATAGTTGGAGGACAGCATGAAATAGATAGACCATCATATTCAACCCAGTCAGACTTCCAAAAGCTGATGTTTACATCAGACATCCATTGAGATGTGTTGTACATGGTGTAAAATAGCTTGCCTGTGGTGGTTTCAAGAATATATTTTGTAAACCAATGACATCTGGTCCAACATTCTTTTATACAAATGTTGTGCTTCATTCTGCAGACAGATAACAAGCATGTACTCATTTGGAGAGAACCTGGAACCAGATTCAGCTCCATTTTTATACAGAAATTTGACAAACTTGGCCTGTGGTGGAAGTGTAATTTTGGCAACAACAACAACAACAACAAAAAAAAAACATTAGTTGTTATACTTGGATCTACATCTTGTGGAATGAAACCTTTAATGTTGCACATTACTACATCCTGCAACCTTTTGTATTGTCACATGCTAGCACAGACTTCAACTTAATGAATGATATTGTCCACTTACCTCATGTTAAACTGATCTTTAAAGAAGAGAGTAGTGACTGAATACAATTCTCTTGTACACTTATCATACTTTCATCCCATAATGCATTGTATCACATCCAGTACTCTAAACAGTAAAGATGCCCCTCTTTTAGAGGAGTGGTCAACGATATTTAAGAATTTTATCATAATTTTAATTTTGATGCAATATTGATGCTAGACTGCTTTTTGCTGTTTTGTGGTAATGATGCTCCATATTGAAATGTCAAACTTCATAGGTGAAAACCACCTCTAACAAGTATTCATTTTTAAGAGTAGGGTGATTGGTCAGTCACTTGCATATTAGATCACGTGAAAGATTAACATATGCTGATTTGCATAAAAATTATCTAAGGGAAAGAGGAGATTGACATTATTTTCTAAAAAAATAATTTTTCCACGTGATAGCTGAAGTATTGTAACTTCTAGTTAATTGTTTTGTGCAGTTTGTATAATGTAGTCAAATTAATTAGATCAAGGTGAACAGAGTTCACTCTAGAAAAGATGGAAGAGCTGAATTAATAATTGGAAATTATAAGATTTTTGTTGAAAATATTAGAAATGCATAAGTAGTAATTAAATATGCAGATAATTTATATTGGATAATTTATTTTCCCATTTTAACTTCACTCAATTTAATCATGTATACAACTTAAAAGTAATTTTGTTTCAACATATAGCAGTATGGTAAAACACGAGTAAATGGTTTATGAAACAATACTGAAACTAAGTTTAATGAAATCTCCAAATATTTACCAAAAAAGAACATACTTGGAAGCTAGATTTTTTTTAAATGATAAATAATAAGTTATTTTTAAAGTACAAAAACAGCCCTATTTATATCAATAGATTTATAAAATAAGTAAGTTTAAGTAGAGCATTTTAGAAACCTCTCCCACAAACATATTAAGATAAAGAAAAAAAAACAATTCAGGTAGTGATATAACAGATGATAGATATTTATGGAGTATTCAAGTCCTTTTAAATCACCATTTAGTAAATAAATTTAAGTATGTGAATGAAATTGTGGCATTGTGCAAAATTTATTATTTAGTATTATACAGTGGACCAACTGTTTGATTATATTTGCTTTCTTTTCATCAAAAGTAATACTGAAAATATAATCTGTAGTATGTACTGATGAGCCTTGAATAGGCAAAACTTCAGTCCGTAGCAGAGGGTATAGTAAATCAAAGAATGTATTAGGCCTCAACCGTACACTTAAATTATATTTTCAGTTGTAGCTTTGGTACATAGAAAATAATTCTGTAATGTGATGGTAGATATTTTTGAAAAACTGGAGTCAGTTGTGATAATTTCATTAAATTGGGAAGCAATCATTATTTAATGATGATATTGAATCAAGAACTTAAGAAAAAATTAAGGATCAGAATATCTGAACTCATCATATGATCAAGTCTGCATTTTTTAGTAGATCAAAATATTTATGAAATACTTAATATTTGTTAATTAAATAAGTGTGTCAAATTGTGTATTTTAAAGATGCTTTTATATGTTTAGAAAATTTAAAATTTTGTAAATGTGTGAAATGTTTCTTAGTGCTGATATTTAAGTTTTTGGAGCATCTTTTGCACAGTAATAAATGTAATTTAAATATGCACATAGTTAATGATCAGTGTAGTTTTTATTTAATATATTACTTTTTTTTAGGTGTAAGATACCTGGGTAATGAAAATGGAAAGTCACCTTGCATCCTTACAGCCTAGATCTCTACAATGTTTGTTGTGTATGTTAGAATAAACTCACTGGCACATTTTAAAAATAATGTGTTTTGCTTCTCTGTTAATGTGGATGTAAAACAATGAAAACAAAAAATAATAACAACAGAAAATAATTTTATATGTGAAACCATAACCTATCTGTGATCACTAATATGCAAGTTTTGGTGCATGTGGATTTAATTTTAAGCACAACTAATAATGGATGAAAATCATAAAGACCTGCACAACTTTTGCCATGGTAGAAGTCCTAGAGATATGGCAAAGACTAAATTAGATAAAATGCTGGTTGAAGAAGAAGATGATGGTAGTGATGAAGAAGTGATGCAGGCTGTAGTCAGTGAAGCAGTGAACCTTCGCATGAAGAAAGAGCAAGTAGGAATTAATGGAGTGGTATGTTATGATGATCAACAAAATCGGGAACGACCAATGTCATGGGAAGGAGAACTCTCTGATGATGATTTTAAGAAACAAGCACCAAATGATTCAAGTAAATTAGTTTGTATGCTGGAAGATGACACTGACCCAGATTGCTCAATAAAAAGTCTGGAGTGTATGGCTAGAAGAGATGAAAATGTTTATTGTAGTGAGGAGGATTCATTCACAATAGCCAAAAGGGTAAGGTGTTTAGTATATTCCACCTTTAAAATGTGAATGGTCAGATGTAGAATAATTTCCTAAACAAGATGATTTACTTGATGCTGCTTCTACAAAGTCATAAATCAACCTTAGATATAATATCTTACAAGGTATTATTTACATAATTTCATTTCCTTATGTATTATCAACATTATGATGGTTAAGTATTAAATATTTAAGCATAATGCAAAATACATTTTTGACATAAAATTCATGGATACAAATTTGAGATTCATAATAAACTGCTTTATACCAAATTGCAGACACCAGGGTTTTAAACTGATTCATAATCTGTTTTATAGTGAACATTTCGTTTTGCTTAATATTTTTGTGTAATATATTTATGTATACAATTTTTCAGATAAACTGTATTACATCAGAAGTGTACAGGCAATCACTCAGCACTGTATAGCTCTGACAAAATTATAATATAACC